GTGTGTGTGTGTGTGTGTGTGTGTGTGTGTGTGTGTCGTGTGTGTGTGTGTGTGTGTGTGTGTGTGTGTATGAATATATATATATATATATATATATATATAGTAGAACGCTTCTCCTATATGACAATGTGGTTATTCAAAGTAGTCGACTATACACACACGTTCACTATGCATGAAGCGTACATACTTAGTCGAATTGTTGTGTGTAAATGGTGTTTAGTGGGCGTATAGGTGGTGTAGGATAAAGTACGAGCTATTCACGGATATAGATGCCGGAGAGGTTGCAGACACTAGGCTGTTCAGACTCAACAAAACACCGCACACTCACGTTCTCTAGCTGCTGACAGACAGAGAAAGTGGCCTGGCCAAGCCGTGCGGGTGTATATACAGGTTACATGCGATGTGTTACGACAGACTCCATAAAAGATTCCATTGCCATGTGTTATCTAAAGTGTGCGGGAGACGGAAGAGTACACCCCACGGGGATTAAGTCATGACTTTAAAAGGTGTGATCAGTATGTGAGACGAGTCATTGGGGTTTGCATGGTACAAATTGCTGCTACATGCAAGTCTACCGGCTTTTAAGGTATACAACGTCTATTCATCCCTGTGTGTGTATAGTTCTACCCTCCTTAGTTATACCCTCCGTAATTATACCCTCCTTATATGACGCACCCCTTAGGGCAAGTGGTCTTAGTTCAGTTGTGTGAGCGGCTATTATATCACGTCTGGTTGGTGCGATGTTAATTACAATTCGGCTGAGGTGTTGTAGTATTTTCCTACCATACATACTAGCAACGCACGTATCCACATAGACGCACTCTGCATTGACACTCTGAACCACCCTGCTGACACAATTGATCCTGTTGCATCAACGATGTATATGCATCCTGAATGTCACAAAGGTCTCTGCCAGTTTAAACTGATGTGCTGTAACCACGTGATCGCAGTCGTATTCGAACATACGGCACAGTACAACCACCCACTAGAACGGCTACTGAGAAGAATAATGAGCTATATAGCGTCGTTTGTGGTACAAAAGTAATACTAGAATACTAGAAGCATGTATATAACCTGAGTACTTGTAGCTGAGACCATGTGTGACTATATCAATGCCCCCGGTGTATAGTATATAGACGCCCTGAGTATATCAGTGGCCCTAGCATATAGTATATAAGCGCCCTGAGTACTCGTAGCTGAGACCATATATGACTATATCAGTGCCCCTAATGTATAGTATATAAGCACCCTGTGTACTTGTAGCTGAGACTATTTGTGACTATATCACTATCTTTCGTGTATAGTATATATATACCCTGATCACGTGCATCTAAGGCCATGCGCGACTATATTAGTACCTTGAACGTAGGTTGAATCAGTGCACGATTCAGCGTGATAAATCTATGGTGTGGGAAGATATAACTTTACGATCAAATACATCCTTATAGTAAAGCTATACATACATTTATTTCCACATATCTGTTAAAGCTACCTCGAAATGAAATGCAGTCTGTGTACAAAGAAGTGCGTGGTGTGTTGTAACTGATGCACAGAATGTGAGTGGTTACTTTGAACTATTTCTCTATCTTCAGTTACGCACAAGTATACACTCCCCCCATAATATCATAATACAAGTCTCGATTCATGCTGACCACAACTACGCACAGACATTGACAAACTATAAACTTATTATAGACAGCAATTCACACCCATACGCGAGAATTCTTCAATACATTCACTCATCTGCTGGTCAAGAAGAGCCAAGCGTTAACTGTTGTATATTGCGAACACAGTAGATACGATGATAGATCGGATCTATAACAAACACACAAGGTGTCCATGAATATGCATGCTGCATTTGCAGTTTTTAGTGCGTAGCTTACCTTCGTCTGTCACAGCAGCAGTGTGTTTGGGTATGGTTTGTGGCTTATTCGCAGTGGCAAACACATTCGTCTTGCCCAGTTGGCGGCCTTTTAAGCCCATTTTGAACCCACCGAATCCACTCATAATTGGAATACTATATGCGCAGTGTTTGTAATGAAATACTCAGCCTATACACGAGAGACTCGAGTTCAAGTATGAGCCACAATTCGCTGTATTCAGTCCCCTTCCAGAGCCTCTACCACCGAGGGAGCGAGACTGACTATAACCGAGAAGCTGTTTAAAAAAGAGAATTTCGACTAGATTTACAGTACACAGGATATCATCTGCTTGTCTTCAGCGGCGCCACTACTATATGTTCTCCGTAGTCTCTACGATGGTGTTGTACACTATATATACGTATCTGTACTTGTATTTTAATGTAGACAAGATTCAAGAGGTGTGGCATTACAAGACACGTAATATGTAAATTAATTTTCATATGTGACGCTCAATATAAGTTCGTATATCGGAGCCCGCCAAAATCGTTTGGCTTTTACAAATATTTCGCGACCATCAAACTTGAAACTTCAAAGTCCGATCTTTTCTTCTTTCTCACTCTAGTCTCTACTCTTGAGAGTTTCGCGATAGTCTAGCGAGCTGCGAGGCCCGAGGGTCATGAATATTGTCATATTAAATGGCGTGCATACACTGATTCATTGGTGTATAGAAGGTCGAGACCTGGGAGTGTGTTTACGTAGTATATGAGACTCCTACTGCGGTGGATATATCTCAAAAAATAGCCTCGGGAAAAGCCAGCTACTCAAGATTGAATCGAATAATCACAGTCGGGATATTAGCTCTACTTCTTGTTTTCCCAGCGCAAATGGTAGTCCTTCTTGGTCCCTTAGAATGTCAATTATCATCCGCGTTTATATCACTCGTGGGTTGTGCATGAAACACTTTCGAGCATGGACGAATCATGACGATTGTATCATTCGACTTTGAATAGTAAATTTTGAAGGCCACGTTGTTGATATGGCAATCTATGTCTTAAAAACTATTGGTATATAAATTACGGTGGGTAACATTGGACCCCTGTTTTTTACAATGGTTAATTTCACAAGTAATTCGTCATACATACGTACTTGCATGCCGACAATAGGCACACCGAATTTGAAGGGCAAGAATCTGCAGATTGGCACTTTTAATCGAAAAACCACAGTTGATATCGCTCGTCAGCTCAATACAATTTGACCGATGTCGATTAGAAATTGCGTGGTTTTAGAAGAAGTTCGATGTCAATTGGATAAAACATGGTTTCAGGATACAGGGCAAATAGTTTTACGGGTATAAAAAGTAATGCCGGTACATTCTGGCACCATGTGTGCCTATCACGCAAGACTATACTTTATTCATTACTCTGCTTTGTTTGCAAGTATCGAATTCTAGCACGCTGATTGATATGATGCCGTTGAAGGCGGCATCTAACAAAGCATAACCGATCTACAAGCGCAGGCTAAAACCGCGATACTCTGATCACAAGCAGCGCTGACAGAACTTGTCGGCGCACTGCAACAACGAGCACCGTGGCCAGGGAACGCGAGATGATGCATGGTAAATGCACAGAAAGTTGGCGCTGGAAAACACCACTGGTTCTAACTCTTTCTGGTGTAGTGTTCCCTCTAGATGCCACTGATACATGGCCACAAAGTCGTACGTCGTATTGTCCTTCACTTTCTGGGTGTACGATAGCGGGTCTATACAGTTACCTGAGTTTACATACACCTTGTCCGAGTTCTTGCTGGTCAAAAGGCTGTTCACCTGGGTGGAAATGAATTTGTACAATAAGGGCTTTTGAAGCGGATTTTATGTTCAATTCGCAAACGCTGTTGAAGAGATGATCCAGTATATAATGCAACGTTACTTCACCAGTCAGTACAAAGCGTGGTGCTGGATTTTGAGTTTTGAACAAGATACGAGATCTTCAACATTGCGCACAGTAAGTGCTCATAAAAAGACGAAACATACCAATTCCCTTGCTTTGTTGGCACCAAGAGTGACTAGCAAAGACTTGCTGACATACCCACTCCCGCCATTCTGAGTCTGAGCACTCTCCAAAGCCAACTGCTCTTCGTTTATCCCATTCTCCGCATCTACAAGGTCATCTATCTCGTCGTCAGGTAGGATTACATCGGCCGGTGTCACAGTCTCTTCATTTGGCATCTCATTGTCTGCTCCTATGTCGGCGAATACAAGACCTTTCGCCAGTGTAGCCCCAAACGCCGCAAGGACTTAGCTTGTACCGTTGTGGCTCTCCCCCAACGAAATCCGACCGTAAGTGAAGCAGTAATCGCCGAATTGCTTGGATGGAATACTTGCCGCCATGATCCAGTGATAGCCCTCCAAGTCCTTCCAACAGTGAAAGATTGGAAAGCAGTGGTCAATGTGCCATCCGGCTCAGGAATATCCAGGCATTGAATTGTTGGGCCGACTATCGTGATACTTTCCCCTGCAAAGTTCTGCAGTGCAAATAAAGTCACACTAACATCAGCCCCAACTACTATTCGGTTGGCTGTTGTTGATAACCCATTCTGTGTGTTCATGGACACGTTGCCGATATATACTGGCTCGCTTCCGTTGGTCAGTCCGGCTACAGGTATCGTGTTATTGTTCACGTTTTCGAATGTTTTTCCCGGCATGTCATCGTTGTGTGTGACATTACTAACCACGGCACCGAATTGTGGACTTGTGGCATTTATCAAGTTGAGAGGTCCTGGGTTTGGTTGGAAACTACCTGTCCAGGGCGAAAGCTCATTGTAGTTTCCAATTTTGAATAGAGAACTTGCACCCGTTCTAGAGCTCTGAGCACAGCCGGGGGCCACTTTCTCAAATATCACTGATTCTTGACTGAACGGTGCCACAAACACTGATATCTCTGTAACTTCTTCTGTACCGACAATTTAGTGCGGGGACCCAACTTTTAGACGGTATAGCTCATTTAATGATGCTAACCAGCTCACGGGTTTCATACCATAA